GGTTATTCCCCTTAACTACTAATATTGCCTTATTCCTCACCACTACACAAGAGCCATTCATTTTATTTTTGAAAACCCATTTAGTTCAAACCACACTTTGGTCCTTAGGTCTTTCAACCAGCTCCCAGACATCATTCCTTACAAATTAATTTAACTCTTCTTGCATAACTAGGATCCAAAATTCATTAGATAGGGCTAGATTTAGGTTGGTTGATTCAGTCATTGAAATAAAGACATAGTGGTTTACTTTTTTTTCTAAGTAACGCCTTTAATCTACTAAGATTAGTTCTTTAGGATGACTTGAAGAATATCTCCATTCTCTAGGCAATGTATTTTCATATTCTATCCTTTCCTCCATATTTGCAGATTCTAATTCTTGGGTGACTTCTACAACCTCTTCTTCTTCTATCATAGACATTCCAGAATTATTAGATTCATCAAATATAGTATGAGTGGTCACCTCAACTACAAGTATTTTTTTAATGAAAACTCTATAGGATTTCACAATACTTGAGTAACTTAGAACACTCCTTCATCCGACTTGGGGTCAAATTTTTCTAATAGAGATTTCCCATTATTCAAAATGAATATTTTACATTCAAATATATGAAGGTGAGAGAGGTTGGGTGTCCTATCCTTTAGAACTTCATAGGGTGTCTTGTTCATCTTGGATCTAACATTCACCCTATTTAGAACATAGCAGGATGTATTCACCACTTCTGCCCAAAAGTATTTATGAAGTGAGTATTCAACTAATATGGCTCTAACGGCTTCTACCAAGGTCCTATTCTTTTTTTTCAACTACCTCATTCTGCTGAGAGATTCTAAAAGCAAAAATGTTGTGACTATCCCTTGCTCCTTGCAGAAAGATTCAAAATTCTCATTCTCAAAGTCTCCATCGTGATCACTATGAATTGTTAGAATTTCACAACCTAACTTCTTCTGAATCCAAGTGGAAAAAGGCTTAAACTCCTCGAATGATTCACTTTTATGAGATAGGAATCTAAACCAAATAAATCTCGAATAATCGTCAACAATCACATACCTAAATACTTTCCCTTGTAGGCTTACAGTGCTGATAGGTCCAAATAGATCCATGTGAAGGACTTCTAAGGGTTTGCTAGTGGTAATATCTTTGATTGAGTGGAAGGAGGATTTGGCTTGCTTTCCTAATTAACAGACATCACACAGGTGGTCCTTAATAAACTCTAGTTTGGGTATTCCTCCCACTAAGTCTTTTTTGGTGAGATTTCTAAGGCTTTTTATACTTGCATGATACATTCTCCTATGTCATAATTAGGATTCATTCGCAATTCTTTTTAAGAAAAGAGCAGTGTCATATTTAATATAATTTAAATAAAGAATATAGATATTATTGATCTTTTTTCCTACAAAATAATGTTATTATTTAACCTAATTATGCTTTCCTAACTGACATGCATCACACATATGTATCCATGCCTAGTTGGAAACTAGTCTTTTAGGGGACTTTTCTTTCTCATTCACAATTTTTTTTTTTTTAATATTCTTAACCACTAATTCCATTTAAGTTTAATCTAACATTTTATTCTTGTGATCTCTATAAGATTTTAAATTCCTAATTACAACCATAAATTAAAAATTACAAATGCATAATCTCTTACACCAATTAATGCATACATAAAATAAAATCTTATTTAAGCTACATAAAAAAATTCTACTTCAGAGTTTCAATTTTGCTTGTTCTCCTTGGTCCTTAAATCTTCTTAGATGTGTCATCTTGTGCCACATCACTTATACACTTACAAAATAATAGGGGAAACCTCTAGGAGGGGTTAGGGTAGATTCTTTAATATATTAAGCTCAATTAGGGGCAAAATTTCAGTAATCTTTAACTTTGAAATATGAAAAAGTAAAAGGAAAAATTAAAGGGTAATAAAACTCTTAGGATTCCAAATGGCTTTAGGAGGGATTTTGGTGCAATTGATGAATTTAAAACATTCATTATATTTATGTGAAAATGAAAAACAATATATAGAAAATTAGATTGAGACATTCTCAATATTAATTTTCTTAAGAAAATAATTATTCCAAAAAGAATAAAAAAATTACTAAAATATTGATTGAGACTCCAAGTCTTCTTCTTCTAATCACCTCACCAAATATATTTTAGTGAGTGTGCACCTTCAATTAATTATTGATGATTACTCTTTCTTCTAAAATTCAATTTGTATTCTCAACATAATATTATTATTGATACGTCATGCAAAAATTATCTTGATCGAGCATGAATCTCGAGGCAATAATCAAGTTGGAAACTTCAAAGATTAAATCCGGGAGCACCTGAACTCCGATTTTAGCAAACTTACAGTCAAACTGAGCGTCTCGGAAATACAAACCCAGCGACACCAAATTCGACCCAATCCGAGCCCAAATGGGTCCGAATCAAGGACCCGAAGCGTTGTTGGAAGGTTCAAACAGCAATTTGAGTTACCAAACGGTCTCCGATTTTAACGAGCTTATACTCGAATCGAACGGCTCGATGAGACGATAGAGATAGTTGCTTCACATAAAGTGTTTACTAATCAATCAATAATTTAACATTTAATATTGTAGTGACACATTTCTTAAAAGAAATAGTTTTTCATTAAAATTCAATAATTTAATAACGTTAAATCTATTGTAATACTAAGATTGATAAAGACTCAACTTATGAACTCATAATTCAAGCTCTAATAAATTTAACATTAATTTAATATTAAAATTAATATCAAATTATTAATTTGAATATTTTTCTATTACAAAAAATAAAAGTGCGCTCTGAATTTTATAGAATAATTTACTTCAATTTAAAAATATTGAATCGTTCATTTGATTTAAATCATTACAGATAATGTAAAATAAATATATGACGAGTAAGTTATATATCACTCAAAATTATCTATTAATCTATTTATCTCCTTACAGACCAATGCAAAATAAATTTTAATAACAAACCTAATGGTGTTTCAAAAAATAAAAATAAAAGCAAATGTTCAAAATATTTTCTTAATAAATACATTCTTCTAAAAATATTAAAACATCAATAATATGCCCTTAAGGTTTTCATTACCACAGTCCGATTGGGTGTAATATTGACATGACCAGAAACCCGACTCGACCCGACATGAAGATTTCTGGCGTTCGGCGCTACCAACAC